TCAACCACTTTCTACTGTCTCCACCAGGAGGGAAATGAGAAGATCTATTACTTTCACTCCCAAGACCAGAAACAAAATTTGGCTTGTTAAACTTATATCTGTGCCAAATTTTCATTGTCCTTCAAATACTGGAGAAGTATAAGGGATATTCTCACAAAATGGGCTGTGAGATACGTGTTTCATCTACATTTTACTGACTGCAACATTTTCTTTATGATAAGTACCCCGTCCATTCTCATGTTTCCAACAAGAGACTGATCCTCATTGCCTTTCAGCTCACCAAAAGCTCAGCAGCTAGGCTAACCAACAGTAAAACCAATGAGATATTACACTAATCTGTTCACCGATCAGTCCACTTTCTACCTGTGGGTAGAGCTTTTTCTTTCAAAACTCAATAGTTTCCTGGTACTGACCCAAGTGCTGATTAAGAAGTATCAACTTTTTAATTGTTCAGGTTTGTACTTCTCTTTATTTAAATAGCAGCTGATACGGGTGAGTAATATTATTCATCTGCTGCTGTTTATCAAGAGTCATTATAAAACAAAAATACAACTTTTTTGTTCTGACTCCAGTATAGCTGCCTGTATTTAGTAAAACATAATATTTATCTGATGAAAAAAAGGGCACTGGTACGGAAATTGTGATCAGTACTGAAATTCAGGCATTGAATCAGCAATAGTATTGAAAACATTTAATATTAATATTATCCATTAAATATAAAGCTGGACCCAAGAGACAGCTTATCTTAGCATACTGTATCATAAAGACTTGAGAGAGGGGGAAATAGCTAGCTTATATGGTAACAAATTTTATGTATCTTATTTATTTTATAGATGACAGATACAAGAGTGGCATCAATCTTTTGATGTATTGCTAATTAGCGCATTTACCAAAAAGTATTCCACATTCAAATCTGACTGGTTACATCAGTGACCTTGTTGGTCTTTCAGTGCAAGACTGCCCCCATTGGTCCTTGAGATGCAACTGTTCTGGTTGTTCTAAAGTCCAAAAAGACCAAAGGTGAGCATAATAGCTATATTCCAAGTACATTTCTTGTGACACTGTGTGAGATGGGTCTAATAGAGCTGTGGTTGAAATCTGTGTCAGACCCAAGCTGCAAAATCCGTGGATGGCAAATTAAGCCAACACGGAAGTAACAAAAATTGCAGTTCCTCGAATGGCCACTTGAGTCTGGCTAAAGAAGTGAGTCCGTCCCCGTATGGCTCTAAATTTCCAATTGTACAGCAGAAATAAACATGTTTACAGCGTGGTACAAAGAAACAGTTTCGGTCACTATAGCTCACTAACACCCCATTCATGTTCTGTATGAAGGGTATAATTCGGCTGTTTACGGCTTAAAATTATGCATAACTAAGGGAATGACCACTTCAAGTAACAGATGGGTGCTGTCACAGGATGCTGTTGTTAGTAATCAGGCTTAATTCAGCCCGCCTCAGCTCCACCCATGCTGCACGTCTTTGTCCATTTTTGGATTAGCCAGGAGCTAGCAGACTCTCACGACTGTCAGAGTTGACCACACTAAACATTGTGAATTTATGGCTTTTGGTCTTAAATTTACGACACAGTCAGAATTGTGATGCAGCCCATCTTGTCTTGCAGCACTTGTCCTGCTCTCTCTTCCTGCCGCTCGTTTTCCTGTTTTCAGCCTTAGTTTTTGCAAAGTAACACGTAAGGTCAGTTAAGAAAAGTGCTAGACAACTAAAGGTTAATTGTTCAAATTGTTTTATGCGTGAAGTAGCTTGCTGCCCCTTCTCTCTGAGATCAGAGACAAGCTTGTCCAAGGCTCCTCGCCTTGCAGCCAAGCCAGGGAAGTAATCCTTGGACAAACACAAGCCACCTTTGACTGGTCAGGAATGTTATCAGGGTCCATATACTCTACCCTGGGTTGAGGAAGGAAAGATCTCAGACTTGAAATGCTTCCCCAACAGCTGTTTGCTGCATCACTCTCCCTGTCTACCCCCCACACCGGACTGAGCACCCAGGCAAAGGGTTGCTATCTAGACTGGTCTCCTCCGTCAGTCTCTTTCATCAGGACTGGCTGGAGCAACATCAGGGCGAGCTTTCTCTTAGAAAAGCAGTAAAAATGCTGGTGTGATTAAGATAGATAGACTGCTCAGGACACTTAATCTTCCGTCCAATGAAAAATGTTAACTGCCTCCTGATGTTCCCCCCCATGCAGTGTAATTAGGCTGAATTACCACTGTGTGTTTAAGTGTCTCTGAAATGCCTACTCCAATTGTTTTCTTGTGCTGATCTTATACTTACTTTCGGTAGTCTCTAATATTTGTTCAATGACATGAATCCAGGAAATTTAATTACATTTCTTTTTCATTACACATTTTGAAAATTAATCCAACAACGATTACGTAATATGCTCTTGTTGATACTGGATTTTAAATTTTTCTACTTAAAATAAAAAATGTCTTCGGCCCTGTAAAACTCTAAACTGTCAGGAAAGAAGCATGACAGTATCAGTGGTGATGGCAGACATTTTTACATGATCCCCTTTTTTACATCTGAGGAGAAAGTTACTCCAGAGATCTCATTAGTCAAACCGTCAGTCTACCAATGCTGCCGTTCTGTTTTCATAGTATCACTTGTACTATCACAGACGGATGAGGTCCACTGAGCAAAGATAAAGCCGGTGTTATTTCACCCCTGGCCTTTCTTGACACATGGATCGCTTTTGGGAGCCATACAGAAACACACACAGGTTTTCAGACTTGTGACTCAAAAAGTGAACAGGCGTAGAAACTCATGAATAAAAGGTGCATGGTTTATGTTTCATTGATTAGATTAACGCATGGTGTTCAGCCCTCCAAAGTGAAAATAATTTTTCCTGCCATATAAAGGTAAATTTACACCCACAGCTATGTACATTTTGCAGTACACCATGTCTTAAAATTGACATACACCATATACAGTAAATTCCTCCTCTAAACTGAGCTAGTACAGTCCAACGATAAGGTGATATTTCACAGATTCTAACCTGTAAGCTAAAAATCCCTCTCCTCCAATATTTCATTTGGATTTGGACATATTTGTAGTCTGTGCTTTAGTAATGGATTCTGAATTTGCAGTAGGGTGGAGTATAGTTTAACGCGATACCTCCCTAATTACAAACTCAATCAACATCTCGCTGTAACATATTGTGACCAACGCCTGCTTAATTGATGAGGAATGACTATTTCCTCCAACCTGAAGAGTGAAAAGTTTACTTTCTGAGAGTAAATGAAAAGCAGGCACACAGCAGAGTAGCCCAGACGGACACGCTGACTGCTAATGAATCGACTCGGGGTATATTGATGAAGTTCAGGTTGATTAATTCCCCAGTTCCACCGCAATCCATCAAATCCAGAAGGTGTTATCTGCGCACGCATTTGCTTTGTGCAACGCCAAGTTGTTTTGTAGATAAAAAATAAACCATTAGCTTTAAGCAATTAACCACAGATTGGACCTGATAATCTTGTTTGAGAATGACAATATTGTGGAAAGTCAAGGAGCAGGAGATGCCGAATTTGGAAGTTTGTTTATTTGATTCATGTATTAATTTTGGAGAGATAGTCTTGCTTTCTTTGGAGACACAAAGTCTCAAAGCTTAGAAAAGCAGAACGCCTGCCAAGCCATATCAGCGATGGCCTCACAATTTGCAACTCATTAACATTACAGTAGAACCATATTTGAACATAGTAAAAACCTCTGTGGCTCTATAAATAAATTGCAATTTGGTCGTTCAAGATTAATTAAAGAGGAGGTATTTCATATCAAATCAGTTTAATAAAATGTATGATTGTGTTTGTTGTAAAATTTCAAACAGGTTATAGATTTTTCTTTTCTTTTATGTGAGTCTGGATTTTGAAGTTATACTCACACATCCTTGACTTGAATAAATAAAGGGAGCATTCTCTTTCCCTGTCTTTTCCTTCTCTGAGAGTCTCTGGGGGCTCCCTCTGACTTCCTGCCATTAAAGAGACAGCCCACTGGAGAACAGGGGGTGACTGACATATAACTACCTCTGCTCTATGACCGACGCTCTGTGTAACTCAACTGGACATCTGTGGAATTTACTCAAAGGGTAGTTTACTCAGGAAAAAATAAAGAGAAAGTAGGAAAAAATAGACGTGTTTACTGGACGGATACAGAGCGGCAGACAGAACCTCAACAGTCCAAGATGTCTACGGAGGCTGTAAAAATCCAACAGCTGTGTGACATCCAGAACAAAAAGTTCAATTCGGACAATGTACACAGTTACATAACAGCATAGCAGAGTTTATATAAACTGTGTAACTAATTCTGCTTTTTAGATTATTAAATACACATTTTGTTGTCTAATAGAATTTTTTTTTCAAAGAAATACAGCCATCAAATTTACCACATTGTGTATTTAAGGTTATCCATCGGTCCATTTATACATTAATTGTAGAGCTTATAGAGGAGACAATTCTGTAATCCTTCCACTCATTCTTCTTTTCGCATGTTTTTCATGCTATCACTAACATTTGTGCATCTCTGTGACATAAAAACTGGTCACACAGCATCACACAGAAAAACATTCTCAACCCCTAAAGCACATAAACTCTTCTACTGACAAACACTTTGACAAACAATGTGTCGACCACGAGAAAACAGCAAACACAGCCTGGTTTCAGTCTGAGAGCCTCATCCAGAAACCAAAACAAGTTATCTTGTGAACCCACAAACAGACACTCTGCGGAGACCACACACACCCAACGGAAACACAAAATATCTCAACAAATATACTACAGTGCGACCACTTCAAAAGACATGGCTCCAGTCTCATGCAAGGTTTTTATACATGCGATTCAATACACAGCCTTCTCAGCAAGGATCTAATTAAAACGGCATTCCTATTTCAATATACCTTCAAGAAAAAAATATCAAACAGACAATACTTCTTGGAAAATTATTCTAATAGTAAGGGTCCACCCTGTAGGTCAACTGCCCACCTCCCTCCTTACCTTCTGTAGCCACTGGGTATAATTCTCCATAATGTGCTCGAGCTGCTGGATCTTCTGGCTGGGAAATTCTGGCTCAGGTGGTGGAGCGTCTCTCTGGAGGGAGTTGGCGTTTTGCTGGGGACTACCGGTCTTCGCCTCCCTGCATGAGCCTCCTCTGACTCCGTCTCCCTCAGGTAGGATGAACGTATAGGTGCACTGGCCATGTTGGATCTTATGAAAGCGTCTGTTACTGTAATTATTGCTACTGCTTCCTCCACTACTGCTGCTACTGCCACTGCTACTGCTGCTACTGCCACCTGTGCTGCTGGTGCTGCTGCTATCCGTTCCTCTCCTCTGCTCCCCTCCTCCGGAGCTTACAATCACCAGAAGTGCTGCCAGAGAGAGCAAGTGGTGGCCAAAGTTGTACCACAACATCATATCAGCCTGGGTAGGAGTTGCAGGTGGATTAAGTTATTGTATATTTAGCTGCTCCTTCTTCCTTCTGTTTGGCTGGATGTTCCCTTTAAATCTGGATCAGACAACGGTGAAGAACACCGTTAGCCTGGAACATGCGCCATCAATCCTTACATTGGACCTCCAGCAATGAAAGCTACTGCTTCTCTAGACATTTACACATGCTATGTTTCCAAAGCTCCTTTAAGTTTTTGTCCTGGCAGGAAAAGTTGCACACATCTCTTGCAGAATGACAGCTTGGTTGTAAATCTTGATGTTCCTCCAGTAAATCGCTAGACTGTGCACTTGCATTTATCAATCTGTGCATTTAAAATAGGTGCCGGGCGAGCTGGGATGGTGTCGTCAGACCTCCCCTGGTCTCTCTGCCTTCCCTTCCTCCTCTGCTCTCTGACTTAACGACTGGGGAGAGTGAGTGAGAGAGAGAGTGAGACGCTTACTCTGAAGAACAGTTCCAAGCTTCCAGCACACTCTGCGCCTGCCCCTTGCAGAGCCTTCAGAGGAATGTGTGCACAGACAAGTATGTTAGTGTGTGTTTGTGTGTGTGTGAGTGTGTGTGTGTGTGTGTGAGCCTGGCAGAAAAGGGACCCCAGCACAGAGGATGTGCTTAGACTATGAGGATCGGTTTACAGGCTCTCTGACTACAGGCTCATGTGGTTGACCTGCCTTTTGCCTGTGTGTTGACACAAAAAACTTTATCTGCTCCGAAGATATTACTTGACTCGCTTCTATACTGTATAATGACAGGTGCTATATGACAAGTAGCACAAGGGTGGTATATTTCTAGGTGTTTTTATAGTCTAATTCTCAACTTATTTTGTCTCTCTATTATCTCTCTATTATCATGGCAAGTGTGATCTTTATAGAGGCAATCTTTTTGTTTTCATCCTCTTTTCGGTTGAGGTGGAGGCTTATATCTTCCAAGCACCTTAAGGTTTTAATGCTTAATGTCTTTACCATACCATTCCCAATATTAGATGGAATTTATGGGTGCTGTTTCTGTAAAAGCCATTTAATGTCTTCACATTAGTTACCTCATTATGTAGTGGTTTGAATTGTCAGTGCCATTCCTGCACTGGATTCAACTGGTATTTGATTCACAGCAAATTATGCATGCATTTGAACGGCTCATTCACCCATTGCACATAAATTGGGTGAATTTATCATTTTGAGTAGGTACATGTATAGCTACTGCAATTTATAAATAAGACAGCAAATTTTCTGCCCCTACAACTAAGGATATACACAATTTGCTCATCTTTTTCTGATGCATCTCTGGCAGAGAAGGTCCCAGTGATCGATAAACGATCAATTTCGAATTAAGCTGTGGGACTAGTAATAGTATAGTTAGTATTATTTAGACGTCTTAGCATCACCACAAGTAAACCACAGGGGTCACCAAATCAACCAGAACTGAAATCCTAAAAGGCCGCTGCACCGATCCAGCATTGCACTCTTGAACATTGTTGGACTCACAATGGACAAAAGAGATAGTATAAAAAGGACGCAGCCAGAGATATTGTCTTTTTTAAAATGCAACTCCTTCACCAAGAGTCAGAATCCTGGTGTGGTATGCTAGTAGCGGATAATGTAGCCTCGAGCTGCTAGCCTCAAACAGAGATGAGGAGCGGGCTACAGTGGTCTGGTTGCATCATGTCTTACATCACCAGATTTGTGTCATTTTCAAACTTGCAGTCTTCAGCCCCAACTAACACCGACTCAAATGACATCACTTGAGGCAATTTATCAGATCACAGACTCCCTCTGGAGCCACAAAAGGTGCAAATTCTTTTGCACATATACAGTAGTATTCAGCATTCAGTATTAGGATGAATGACATTAATAATAAAAAGAGGAACAGTCCATCGCTGTAGCTCAGAAAAAGCACACCCAATTTGATTGTGAAACTTTGCAAAAAGTGCAAAAAGCCCTGCCGGTAAGATTTATTTTGTGTCTTTCATCCATCCACTATATTTCCATTACATGCACGGTCTTTTATCTTCATACATTTTATATACAGTATGTCTCTATCACACACACCCGCTGCTGTTATGTTTTCAAGAAAACAAAAGTGAAATCCAAGAATGAGCAAGGGAAGAAAGAATGCGTCTTCATCATTAGGCCAGAAGAAGAAGCAGAGCGAGTGAACACAGCGCTGAAAGACTCCGGGTCAAAGGTCAAATCCTTGTCATGGACAGTCCATTTTTAAAATCTCTGAATTGGGGAGACACAGCTGTCTGAATTCTGGCCGGACTTCAACATTCCTCTTGAGTCCAAAACATCCAAATCTGTGTGACAGTGCATGTGCTTGAGTATGCATGCCTTTGCTGTTATTTGTGTATGATGTACGTGCAAGAGCAGCATTGTGCACACGTGTTTACTGTCTCCATCTGCCCGCTCATGCTTACATGCATGTGCGTGTGTTTGATAGTGTATGTGTATTCAGTGATAGCAGGGGGCTACAAAAAGTTGGGCCCTCTGTGTGGGAGCAGAGGGGCGGTGTGAACGAATGCATGAAGGAGACCCAAGATAACAAACCCCTTGAATAACCCAGACTGGCCAAGACACAAAGCATGTGCAAATATCTATTGGAGTGCTTGTCTTTGGTTGACGTACTTTGCCGATGTCCTAAAATCTGGGCGCCAGTTACTGTGTCCAAGGGAAACTAAGTGGGAGATAATCGGTATGGGCAACCTTGAGTGGGCAAAATTAAACCTACACATCACTCCTATGAACAGCTACAGAAAGAACCCACTGATGTGGAAAAGAAATCAGGAGGGAAGGGGTCACATCTAGTCCTCTGTGAACGATGAATTGACCCACTTGCTAAACCCCCGTTCCCTGAACAGTATATTCTATCATAGTTAGCAGTCTTAATTAGATACAGTGGGCTTGTAATGATGCTTAAAATTAGTCCGCTAGAAACATTAAAATGTTTTTTTTGGTTTTCAACCAACTCAAGGTTAGGTCATAAACGTTAGATAGCTAGCTACAACTGATAATCGGATAGTTGTCATTTTAGCTGGCAAATATACTCCTGTGACAAAGGCACAATAAAAAGCTACTGTTTTAAAATTAGTAAAATGTTTTTGTCTACCTCTTTGTGAAATCAGAGACTTGAAAATAACAATGAATTCAAGTAGTGAGTCCTCCATCACATCATCAGTATAAACTATTTGCTGTTAACAAACAGAAAGCTTGACAGGCAACCGTAACTAATGGGGGACGTTTAATCAGTCAGTATTAGTATTATCAGTTAGTATTTGATACGCAGTTGTGTACATGCTTTTCATTTAAAATTGTTTAGAAACTCAATTTTGCAACATGAAAAATCAACATTTTCATATTTGCTGTATTACATCCAGCTTTGGATTGTCTTAACAAGCAGCCGAACATGTGAGAAAACACAATCTGTTTATATTTATGAGTCGGTAACTAAATGGTGTGTCAGATCTAAAATCTTACTGGAGTGTAAACATACCCCGTTTTGAAAGCTAAAAGAGTGCAATCATTTTCTAACCTTGAGGTCCCACGCTGTCTGTCCTATACTTCCTGTCCCACACATATATCCAATGTACACCCAGTTTGTTAAAATGCAATAACCATTTTGCTGGTGACAGTCAAGCACAGTGCGGGTCACGTCAGTTGTGAGAGGCCTAGAGGCAGCTGGCCTTCATGGGAATCTGGCTTATGTTTTACTTAAGGTTTGGGAGGACATTTTGTATAATTCAACATCAATCTGAATGACGCTGCCTTCCGCATGTAATCTAAAATTGACTATATGATGTGGGAACAGGCAATATCAGAGTTTTTAGTTCCTTCCAGTCTCTCCTGGTGTGACTTCTGATTTTTTCCAACTTTGTTACGGCAGCTTCTTACAGGTTAAATAAAGTCATGAGAGAAATTTCCACTGGAAATGGGGATAAAATTATATTTCTGTTCGTCTGACTTTTATAGTTTCAGCTTGATTTTCTTTTTCTGTTCCCATAATCAAAAAAATAAAAATGGCTCATTATAAGGTAACAAAAACACATCCTATATTCAGGCAATTATACACTAATAAAAACATACCTATGAATATTATATTCCTTTTCTGCCAATAGTTCCTTCTAAATGTTACACACTGGACCTTTAAGAAAAGTACAATAACAAACCAAACCTATGGCTCTGAATGAAGTTATACCCTATATAAAAAATACTGACTATGTGACATTTACTATTAGTAAATGTGTGTTCTTTAATCTTCTATCTCTGGCCAGGACACAAAGAAACACACTGTGTTAAAAAATGCAGTTGTCAGTGGATGTCAAAGGCAAAAGCGTTCCGTGTGACTCCAAAGACAAACCGCAGCAACTCATTCAGACGTGCTTGAATAGCTTCAGCACTCTGTGTTTGCCCGTTTCTTTTAACTAGGAAAATTTGAATTTGATTAAACGGTTGCATAACCCAGCCAAAACACTGATGGCACCTTTTCTTCTCTAAGCTTCACCGTTTGTCATGGTGATGGTGATTAAAGTGTACACACACACACACACACAGACACATACACAAACTCAAACACAGTGTCATGGTAATGCTGAACCAGTGCCAGCATCTATACCATTGAGTCATCAGCGGAGGGACCTAGAGCTAATGCGGGTCACTCTAGTGTATTATTCTCCTGTTTTGAGTTTGGGGTGGACCTGTCATATTCTGAATTCCTTTTGAAAGATCCACAGTCTGTCTAAGGCCTTGAGGGGACGTTAATCTCATGCACAATAGCCTTGTTAGCATTTTGCCCAGTGATGACTTCCACACTCTGTGGCTCAAAAGTGAGAGTTAAGAAATTATACATTTGTGCAAAAACACTTTTTGTGTTTGTGTGTGCTTTGAGTGAATATCGGTTTGTGAAGCACTCTTTCTGAGTGGATGTGCTGTGATGCATGTTAAGGGAGTAAAGAGGCACACTGGTGGCTTATTTTCTGAAGCCACTTTGACAACTTTGCTATAAGCCTACAGAGTAATGAGCTCAAAAATTTAAGCCTGCTTACAGAAATCCTTTTGGAAAATAATACTAAGGCTCAACCTCCGACGGTTTTTCTTGTAGAGACAAACATAGGAAGGACTGAGAGGAAAAGTAGACACTCAGCTGACTATAGAGTTAAATAGAGGCCCAGTAAGAGAAGAATGGAATTAAAAGGTAAAGCCTTCATTCCTCATCTCCAGTTAAGAAAAAATATTTATCAGAATCAGGGTCAGAATCAGAAATACTTTAATAATCCCAGGGGGTAATTACTTTAGCTGAAAAAGTGAGCATTTAGCTCAGAGAAATGCTGAATAATCTTTGTCTTGTTATCATCTGTTATTTTAAACATTACTGATAATACAGATATAAACATACAGTGCTTATTATGTAAAGTATATTTTATTGCCATCAATAATGGCTCAGACTAA